AATGTAGTGAACCGGTGAAACCAAGCCCGAGGAGCCTGCTTTAAGCCATAAAGAGCCTTGTTCAAGCGACAGACATAGTGAGGATGGTGTGGATGAACAAAACTAGTAGGTTATTTCATGTAGACAATTTCATTTAGATGACCATGCAAAAAAGCATTTTTAACATCCAACTGATTAACAGGCCACTTACGAGAAGCAGCAATGCTTAAGATAATCCTAATTGTCAGTGGTTTAACCAGGGGACTGAACATTTGATCATAGTCAATGCCAGGTTTTTGATTATAACCCTGAGCGACAAAACGTACTTTACAATGATCAAGAGAGCCATCAGACTTGAGTTTAACACGAAAAATCCATTTCGAACCAATCACATTTGCAGAGATAGGAGGCTGGACTAAATCGCATGTGTGATTTGAAATAAGAGCATATTCATCACTCATGGCTGCACGCCATTCAGGGTATTTATTTGCTTCAGTGAAACAATGAGGTTCTATGGGAAGAGAGGTGGTAGTAGCAGCAAGAGAGACAATTTGTTTAGGTTTACGAGTGCCATCCCTATTTCGAGTGACCATAGGATGAGGTGGGGGGACAGAGGAGGTCGAAACTGATTTGTCAGACAGAGGTGTGACACTAGGTAGAGGGGACATAGAAATAGACGTCTGAAAGGAACGTGGAGAAGAAGGCACTTTTTGCGGAAGAGTTTTTGGAATGAGAAAGGGAGGTTTGAACTGTGAGGATGTGGGAAGATTATGTGGAACCGAGGAAGACAACGAAGGGAAAGGAAACGATGTTTCATCGAAGATGACATGACGGGATATATAGACTTTCTGAGAAACCGGATCAAAACAACGATAACCCTTGTAGGATTCAGGGTAACCGAGAAAAACACATGGAATAGATCTAGGACTGAATTTATGAGATGCTAAGTGAGAGAGATTGGGAAAACAGGAACAACCAAAAACCCTAAGGTCGCATAATTGGGGGAGCGACCAAACAAAAGAGCAAAGAGAACAGCACCATTTTTAGATTTAGTGGGCAACCTACTTAAGAGGTAGATGCCAGTAGTTAAAGCTTCGACCCAGAATTGAGTTGGTAAGTGAGCTTGATGAAGAAGAGCGTGAACCATATTAATGATGGTTTGGTTCATACGTTCAGCTTTGTCATTTTGTTGAGGGGTATACGGACAAGATATATGCATGGAAACCCCTTTGGACTTAAGGAAAGTTTGGAGAAATTGAGAATGAACATACTCAGCAGCAGCATCGGGTTGAAGGACTTTTATAGAAATATTGAATTGAGTTTGAATAAGGGTATAGAACTCAACAAATTTTTGAGGAATTTCAGATTTATTTTTAAGAGGATAAACCCACAAGAAATGAGCGAAATCATCAAGAAATAACACAAAGTATTTGAAACTACTAAAAGAAAGACAAGGTGAGGTCCAAACATCAGTATAAATAATATCAAAAGCATTTAAAGTCATGATTATTCACGTATGAAAGGATTAATTTGTATGTTTATTTACGTATATGCAGTACAATATACATAGTCATGATTTACATAAACCCTATTTAGGGTTACCTAAAATACACATCCTATCAGGTATGAGCTATGAAGATGGCGTAGGGATGAGAATCGCAGGTCCTGTCGCAGAAAAAACCACAAGCATTGCATGGATCAGCTATGTTACCTGGACTCGGATACGGGTGTCGTATCGGGTGCGGGGATTTGAGTGTCCGACTCGTCAATATTTTAGAAATCTTGGACATTTTAGGCTAAAATGCCACATCCGACACTCATACCCACACCAGTGTCGACACGACACGACATGGGTATTCTCCCCAAATAGAAGAGTCTGGGTAACATAGTGGATCAGGATTAATACTTCCATGATGTGATGCGGTGGATATGATTGCAGTTAAGTGAATAGAAAGAACAATGCAGCTGACTGTAAACACAGCATGATTGTTGATATGGAAAACCATTTTTACAAGAGTGAAGCCCTTAGAATAGGGATTAAAGAGGGATCAAAAGCCTCAGAAATTCTTGAGCTTCTTAAAGATGCAGATTGCATTTAGTCTACTTTTTCGTTTTGTGAACAATCTTTTCGCCCAAATAATAAATGACTAAACATTCTTGTGGAAATAATTTTCAAAGTCATCGGTCTTAAAATCAATTAACTAAACTTATTAAATACCATGATCTGTTGATTTCTATAGCAGTGGGGTCGTTTACTGTCTGCCATTTTATAACCTTATTCTCTTTAGTAAAAAACGCGGAAATAGTTCACTATATAGAAGTATCTAAATGGTTCACTTCCAAATAAGTGTTATATTAACTTTCAATGTTGATAGCAAACAGAATCCTTTTGAAAAAGCTCTGAACAATCCGAGTCAAATAAGATATGATTTTTAGCTATGTTACCCGGACTCTCCACACAGAGGCAGAGTACCCATGTCGACACGAGTCAACACTAGTACGGGTGTGCCTACCGGGTATGGGATTTTAATGGAAAATTTCAATTTTTTCTATAATTTTTACTGATCCGACACTCAGATCCCACACCCGTACTGGAAACCTGTACTCGAGTCCGAGTAACTTAGATTTTTAGAGCACAAGTGGATACAGGTACCTACCATGGAGGCAAAAGGGTGAATGATGATCAGGGAACTCCTGACAGTTAACACATTTCAATATGCCTTCCTAAATTGTATTCCGTATTTGGTAGTTACCCATCACCAGCCAGTTTATTCTAGTTACAGAGTAAAATTACCTTTCCTGTTTTCTTGTGTGCCAATGTTTGCTGGATAAAAGATACAGAGAGAAACAAAAGGAATTACAAAGGAACCCTATTTTGAATTTGGAGGGCTTGAGATAAAGTAAAAATATTACTCTTATGACAGTCTCTAACATAAAAACAAAAAAACAAAAAAAATTTCTAACCTGAAATGTAAAATTATCTTCAAATAAAATTTGTTTATTTTGGATATTTTTAACTTGTAAAATTTTAGGAAACTAGATTGACATGGAAAATCCCTAAAAGAAATCATCTTCTTACGTATGTTTTTTTTTTTTTTTTGAAAAAATACTAGTTTCTGAAACTGTTTACAATTGCATAAGATTTAGAGTTATTTTCAAATATATATATATATATATATGTATATATATATGTGCGTGTGTATTAGAAAGACTAATTTAAAACATAAATTTTGAATTTTTCAAAAGTAATTTTTTATTTTGTGTTTGAGTTTTTTATTTTAATATTATTTTAATTTTACTTATTTCGTACTGCGAAACCTCCATATTACACTTTGATTCATTAATAACTCTATTAAATAGTAATTGTTTTCCGTTTGTGCTTAAAATAAGTAAAATAATGAAGAAACTCAAGATGATTTTTATTTGAAAAATCTACTATGTAAATCTAGTCCCTACAATTTTGTAAGTTAAAAATATATCCAAAATAAGAAAAGTTAAATTTGAAGGTAATGTAACGCGGAAATATAACCTCTATTCTCTTTCGTCAAAAACGCGCAAATATTTTAGGAATGCAACAGGGCACTATATAAAAGTATCTAAATGGATCACTTCCAATTAAGTGTTATAATCACTTTCAATGTTGATAGCAAACAGAATCCGTTTGAAAAAGCACAAGTGGATAAAGGTACCTAGCATTGAGGCAAAAAGGGTGAATGATGATCAGGGAACCCCTGACAGTTAACACATTTCAATCGGCCTTCCTAAATTGTATTCTGTATTTGGTAGTTATCTATCACCAGCCAGTTTATTCTAGTTACAGATAGGAAAAACAGTAAAATGAACTTTATTGTTTTCTTATGTGCCAATGTTTGCTGGATAAAAGATACAGAGAGAAGCAAAAGAAATTACACGGATTTACTGATTTCAGACTTCTAGGTCGCGTATTTTCACAGCATCGATCATGCTTTTGCCGCTTAGTCTGCTGTTGTGAAACATTTTTACAAATTCCTCGTACTTCATGGTCTTGTATTTGGCTCCATTTTCTTTCACGAGATCTGGCAGGGGACCGATCATTGATGATATACTTGGACTGTGAAATGTAGCAATGGATATCCTTTCCTTCTGTGAATTCACCACAGCTCTATGCTCAATGCTTCTATACTCCCCATTGCTCATTATCTGCAGCCAAAAACACATTTAAGCTAAGCTAAGTTTGCGGTTGGAGAAAAATGTATAATAAAGAGGGGATCCTGTTGCTGTTCTGAGTAACTTATACTTACCTCCAGTACATCACCAATATTGACAACGATGGCATCACGAAGAGGTTTTATAGGTACCCAATTACCATTTTTGAGGATTTGGAGACCTTCAACTTCATTGACTTGTACCAATAAGGTCATTTGAGATCCATCAGAGTGTGGGGTGATGCCGATAACTTTGTCGGCTTGGGGGCATGGAGGATAGTAATTGATTCTTATTGCTTGTGTGCATTCATGACCGATGTCGACCAAGTCTTTAAATTCCACCCCGAGATTCATAGCCATCGATTCATAGAGGCTAATGCAGATTCTGTGCAGCTCGCGCGAGTATTCCTCTAAGCTTGGCCTGATATGTAAAGGCAGAGTTTGTAAGTTTGTGAGAAGAGCTAGGTGATTTCGGGAAATAATTATCCTGAAATTAACCTGAAAGATGTAGGATCATCAGGCCAAAATTTTACATTCCTTGCTGACATCGGAATAGTAAAAATCAACAGCATGTCATTCCAGTCGAGCTTTTGATCATCCGACATAACAAATGCTTGACCATACCCTTCAAGACCATCTCGCTGTTGTGCATAGAGCAGCTTCTCTTCTAATGACAGATCAAAGAAGTCCTGTGTAGCCGCCTTCATTTTCTCGATTGCTGTTGTCGCTCCATGATTAATCAACTGTCTCAAGAAATTAGCTACGAAAGATTAGATCCAAAGGTCAACTTGCAACAGTAAAAGATGAGAATAGAGACTGCAGAATATGATTGTTTACCTGGAAAAATCCCCATTCCTTGCAAGCCTGATGAAGCTTTGACATTTCAGTTTGATATCCAACGTTGCCAGTTCCAAGCTTGCTCATATCAATCACTGGAATTTGTGATGACTCGTTGACCGAAACTTCATCTGTCCTGATTTCAGGTCGGATGTATCGATGTGGGATTTCTTTTAAGGCTTTTGAAGCAAGTTGTTGAACATTTTCAACAAGAAGTGAAACCCCAATATTCTTAATGTCGTGGACAACGTTATCCTCCATTGATGAATAAGTTGCAGAGCCTTCCATCAAATCCCAGCTTGACTTTTTTTTCTCATTGATGAGTTCGAGATGCAGAAGTGATTTTTATAGTGTTAGTCTTTTAGGGGCTCTGACCAATCGGAAGGAAGTACTCTATCCAAGTTGCCTATTATAATTAAATTTTGGTAGAACCCGTTTATTAGAATTATTTAACTCGATGTTTGAACCAGTTTACTACCATTCCTTTTGTCCTAAAAAATTATCTTGTTCGCGATTTTTGGACAATCATTTTAAATAAAAAAATATAATGAATAGATTTTTATTTTATTTCCCGAAAAGCCATACGCAACACAATATGTAGCTGCTAGAGTGTAAAAATAATGTTGCAGAACCTAACTTTTAGAATATAGGCGCTGTGTGTGGGCGATTCCACGATTTTGTATGTGTGATTTCCTTCTTTCTTGCGGCATTCATCTTCTTATCGCCAGCTATGATGGGCAAAAGAAGGAAGGGGAAACCATTGAATAATACAACAAACGTCGATTCGCGTCCTAATGGCGATAGCGAGAAGGTGAATCAGGAGAATTTTGAAGGCAAAGGTGAGAAAAGGAGTTTGGGGAAAGCGGTTAGGGTTTAGCAAGAAGGGGAATTGAATGATAATCTAGTGATTATGGTGCTATTTTTCCTAGTAATAGACTAGGGTTCGATTCTAACCAGCGGTTTGTAAGAGGGGTTTTACCCACATTTAAGTAAGGTCCACTGGGATGACTTCAAAAAAAAAAGGGTTCAGTAAGAAGAGGAGTTAGAGCGATAGGTGGTAGTGATTGAGGCTTCATATTCCATGAAGCAGGCGAAAGATTTGGGAAAGGAGAATCTCCAAATACCAGTAGAAGGATTGGGAGATCTGAATATAAAATTCGGCCCAGGCATCTATGTGAGGGGTGTCTTAGTTGGAAAGAGAAAGATGGGATGGAGAATCGAGAAAAGGATAACAACGCTAAACGGCAATTTCACTAGAATGAAGCGGGGTGTTACATTCTAGTGGGAATGCTTGGGAAAGATTTGATACTAATAAATTGAAAGCACTATCTGTGAAACTGAAGTTAACCCCTCCCTGCCAGAGAGATGGACAGAACGTGGCGAAGATCAGAATGGAAGATGTCCATGCTGAGGAAGTCTACTGGGAAAACTCTGTGGTTTGCTTTGTCTTGGGAAAACTCTGTGGTTCGATTCCCACCAAGGGAGGGAGGGGGAGGGGGTTTTACTCACATTTAAGACTGCGGTAGTTTTTTTTTCTTTTTTTTTTTTTTAAAAAAAATGGTTCAACAATGCTAATAAATTGATACTAATAAATTGAAAGCGCCATTTGTGAAACTGAAGTTAACCCCTCCCTGCCAGAGAGATGGACAGAACATTCCTCGGCATCTTAGGAGGCTACAACTCGAAAGGTCAACCCCAGAAACTGATTGAAGTGAGTTCCTGGAATCTTTGCTATTAAATTTATGCCTTTTCTGTGTGAATTTTCTGTTGTTAGTATATACATTGGTTGTCATGGCTAGGAACCTAGATTTGAAAACTATTGGTGATTTTGTATCGACCATAGATTCCGACCAAAAGGTCAAAGCCGTAGCTGATAAGTATGATATCCCTCTAGATCTAGATCCTCGAGCCCCAATAGGTAACGAGAGGGCCAACACTCCACCAGAGGAGAAAATTATTGTATATTATCGTTTCATGTTTTTAGCCCCCTTTTCCCTCTGTTCGAAGAGATTGTCCAGCACTATAAAATCCCACTTGCTAGGTTCACCCCAAACCTTATATCCACTGTCCTCGGATTCGTGAAACTGTGCGAACTGGTAAACGTGAGACCTCGATTGCTCGTGTGGAGATATTTTTTCAAAATCTGTGTTCCCTCGACGAAGTTCAAGGATTGGTATAACGTCAAGAAAAATTCAAAGTCTGGTGCGATACAGATTGTAAAGGTATTCGATGGTTCCCCGGTGTGAAAATCAGAATACTTGTATGTAAAAGCACCGGAGAATTGCTATCTTCCTTGGAACTATTGAGAGATGAAGGGTCTTGATGTGATAGTGGACGACTGGACCAAGATTGATGAGGAGAAAATCCTGAAGTATCAATCCGACGTCGATGCTATGGAAAAATATTCAAAATTCATCTTTTGGGCTGATGTTCAATATTACATTAACCCACTTCCAGTCGAGGAAAAAGAAGGTACTAATCTCCCTTCTATTTTCTGTGTTTATGTTATGTCGTCGAACAGAACCTCTTACGGGTTATTTGGTGACGCCAACCCTTTTAATGTTAACTCAGATGATGACGAGTCGACGACCAAGGTCGAGAAGAAGAAGAAGAAGAGAATAGTGAAGGCTGCTGAGAAAGAACCTCGAAAGAAATCGAAGCATGACCCCCGCATCGAGGAGAAGACCAAATCAGTGGGGCAGGGAGAGAAGACTATTCCTCCTGTCACTGAGGAACAAAGGGTGCCCCCGATGGAGCAAACTGTAGTGCCCCTTGTCAAGGAAGAAACATGCATCGTAGATGAAGTCGGACCCCGTGTCAAGCAGGCTTCCGTGGAGAAAGGCAAAGGCCTGCTCGAGGAGAAGGTGACTATACTGCCTTCTCAGCTATTCGAGGAGAGCCCCTCCGCCGCAGTATATACATTTAGCAATCCTCCAATAATAGACTGCCCCTTGTTAGAGTATGGCGACCACATTAACTGAGGTAGACAGTTTGAAACTTGTAAGTGTCCTTTGAGTTTCCATGTTTCTACATCTGAACAACCACAGTGTTAACATGTGTGTGCTTTATGTACTTTGCAGATGAGTACTATCATGATGAGTTGCACGATCTGCTCAAGGAAGTTGAGACAGGAAATTGCCAAAGCGGAGCAAGAGAAAATTGCCCTAGGTGGCCTCCTTGAGAAGGAACAGTTATCGCTGGCTGCCAAAGAGAAGGAACTTGCCTCGCTGTAGGCAACATACGAAGAGTTGGAAGGGAAGATGAGAGAATACGGTAACCTCCACATCTCGAAGGCAGACCTCCACAAATGGTTTTCCACCATTTGGCTTAGGATGCTATCCATAGGTGGCATGGTCGAGGAGGTCGGGAAAGTTAATGAAGCGGCCAAGCAGTATGGAGGCCATGGCATTGCAGTAGAGGGTTTGAAGAGGAGCTCGAAGAAAAGGCCAATCAAGGCGAAATGGTTCAAACAATTCTTGAAACCACATCCTCAAAAGACCCTCCATGAAGCCTTGGTGAACTGTCTCATGCGGCTGAATGTGGGGCAACTAACACTGTGGGGATCGTTATGCGGCACCCTTGTTAACATGGGATCTCCGGAGGATGTTGGCTCGTTTCTAGGTGATGGTTCCATGGTTCTGACTGGTGCTCCTGCTGATGAGCTACCTATTCTGGATGTTCTAACGAGGAAATTGGAATTGACCTTGTCGAGGAAGATGAAGATGATGGTGATGATGACGCTGGCGACTCGGAAGAATTCGACACCGGTAATTCTGGAGCTAAGGGGAATGATCCCCCAGTCGAGGAGAATACTGGAGGAGCTACCATTCCCAATCAAGGGTCTAACGAGGGAACCTTCAAAAATCATCCAGGGAACACTTCCAACACTCAAGACGCTGTTTGAACTTCATTTTGTAATAGTTCTTAGGAATTTGTTTAAACAATCGCTTTTGTAAACAATTCCCCACTCTATTCTCTTATGGATGATGCGTTGTTTTGTTTTGTTATCTGATGTTGATCTTACATTTTCCCCTGCAACAGGATAGTTGGGCTATTCATCGTGTCCACCTTATGGTCTTGCCGGAAGAACAATATGAGCAGTACCCTTTGTACTATATGATTTCTAATATTATGAGAAAAAGGGCAGACATTCATAGCATCGAGACCGTGGGGGCTTTCGAAAGAGACATTCTTGATGCTATTCTAGCCCACAGTGTGAAGGTCAACCAACATTTGATCAAGGAGATTAAAGGCCTTCACGAGGAGATGTGCAGGCGATATTTCCGAAAAGATCAAGACTACCAGGATTTCTTGATTCTGGAAGTAGACATATATGACGAGATGACTGCTTTGCAGAAGGAAAACACCAAGCTGAGAACTGATAAGGAGATAGTTGTTTCTCCATGGTTTCTCGAGAAGCATAACGTACTTGCTCGAGTACAGAACATGATCACTGTGAGGACTCGCCGATTCATTACTGCAACGGAATTGTTGAAAGAGAGAACTGTGATACGGAGCTCCTTACCAAATACTGCAACGTCTTGCAGATTTGCTGGTAGATCATAGGATTGACTTTCTAAGTTTTAAAATGCACGCAGAGTTGGTAGATCCAAGGACCAGGAGCTCTCGAGAAGAACTACCCCTACGGATGAATGATCAAGATGAAGAGATTGCAGATTTGAAGGATAAGCTCAACCAATGTGTGAATCTCCTCAGCCAACACGGATTTAGAGGTATCATACATCCTTCTTCTGATAATAATAATAATAATAATAATAATAATAATAATAATAATAATAATAATAATAATAATAATAAATTGATATTAATTTTTAACATTTGTACTAAAATCTAGTAAAAAACTCAACTCAATGTGCATTATTTTTTTTTATTTATTTTGGAACATAGAGAGTAATAAATAATGTATCAGATACCTCTACGACATGTCATCCACCATTATTCTTTAAAAGGAAAAGCTCAGTGGCGGAGAGAGGGGGTGACCAGCCAGTGCGGCGACAACCCCTCCGATTTTAGTTCTTTTAATATGTATTATATAATTATTAGGTAATTAATGTAATGTCTTCGTATTCGTACCCCCTCTGGAAATTTATTATAATAATTAAACTTCTTCAAATGAATTAATTAATGAACAAATGTTTATAACAATGCGTTTTTAATCAATATTTGTAATTTTTAAGTAAACAATATTAAATAGCAAATTTTTCCATTTAAGTACTGGTAACTGTCTTATTTTTCCTAGATGATGATGATGTAAACACCAAACATTTGAGATTGAAATTAAGACTCAAAATCCCAAAAATTTATAATAGGCTAAAACTTTAACATGAAACTTAAAATGGCCAACTATATCAACCATTAAAATTTTGTTTGCTCCAAAAAAAAGAATGATCAATTCAAGTAAATTACACTAATAAATATTTTTAGTGGTCTTATCTTGTAATAATAGAGTAGAAGTATATTTTTTCCCTTATCTGAAAGATAAAGTAAACGTCCCTGAGCCGAAAATCTGAGCTCTAATTGAGCAATCCTAATGGTTGAATAGATTTAATCCAACGGTCAAATTTCGTTTGATTGTCGCAATTTAAGTGGGGGGTAAATCTGTCATTGCGTAATGCAATTATTATCTTTTGGCAAAAACAGTAGACGCACCACAAACGACGTCGTCTAACCAAAGGGCACCGTTAAGCTATGAAATTGGAAAAAACCAAAACCCCTCATTTCCCCCTAATTTTTCTTTAGACGGCCGCCCTCCTCCTCCTCCTCGCCGAACAACTTTTTCCTTTCCCCTCCCAAAAGTCAAAACATCCAACGCCACACCACGACAGACGCACCCCAACTTTGCCGGCAATCATCTTGATAGGCTCCTCCGCTAACAACGTGATTGTCACTTCACTCCAGATTCAAGCTGGACTCGATAAGCCGTCGCCTTCTTCAGTTTTCCCTTCTTCTGATTTCCTCTCCTTTTGGCCTCCTCCATTCTGGTAGTGTCTCAATACGTGTCGTCGGCTATCGACTGACACATAGGCTCAGATTGATACGAGGATTATGAAGACTCCGAACAACGGAACAAAATGGATTCGAGTTCTACGTCAATTACGGACCGGAAAGCTTAATGCGGCTAGGAAATTGAGCAAATACTTGAGGTGATCATAATTCAATAGCCGAAGAATGATTTGATCTTGAACTTTTTGTTTCTTATTTTATGGGAGCAGATGAGGAAAGTCCTTCCTTTGAAGAAATCCAAGAGTACGAAAAAAAGCTACGAATTGGCCTTTCCAGTAGTCAGACCTGAGAAATTCAAGAAACTTGAAGGGCCTCTTCAACCGTACTAAGTTTTACTGTCCAAAACGGTTGAGACAAAGCAAAGATTACTTGCAGTTATCCCATCCTAAACTTTTAAGGTTTGGATTTGCCAATTTTATTATATTATAGAGAATATTTAGAACTTATGGCTTTGTTAGTCTGTTTATGAGAAGAAAGATGTAATGCTTAGTTGTGGCTTTGTTTCTGAGAGTTTTGTGAAAGCTAATTCAATTTGTATGCTAGAAGTTTTGACTTTTTGCTTCCAAATATACAATACTGATTTTAGCGTTTTTAGTTGCACTGTGTTTGGTTGCTCCATGTTTTCTTACAGTCTAGAATGGTATGTTGGTTCAGCAGTCTCTACCTAATGGTTGAACATATACAAGGATCTGTATAACTATTTTGTACTGTCTGAAATTAAGGTTCCAGTTTCATTGTATTATGTAGATTTTAGTTTGAAAATTGAAACCACCACAACATATATGTAAGTATAGGGCTATTGACCACGTCTTTTTTTTATCATGTATTGTCCTTCAGTCTTTGAATCAAGCGAATAGGCTTGTGTCTTTCTCAAGTTTCGTTTTTTATTTGATTCAGATTCTGGTGATGCAAAGATTGCTTGATTAAAAAATGTACATCAATGGTTTGAATTATTCCGACCTTTTGTGAACTTCTTATGTGAGGCACGAAAGGTCACTAAGAGATTACGAATAGGAGATGATATTTTGATGCATATTGTTTAGTTGTATATACCTAAAAGATCTCTCTCTTTGTCGGCTTTATATTTATAGGGAATAATTGATTTTTAATCGAGTGGAAAAAATTGGGTAAACTAGGATGCTGCCGTAGAATTGAACTGAGTGGTTACTGAAAAGTTTGAACTTTGGAAGGGAAGTTATAACAAGGCGAGTTATATCAAAATTCCTTACCATGTGTTTAGATCTTGGCTTAAAATTTCCCTTTCTTTTTCTGGAATTGAAATGTTCTGCCCCATCTTCCTTTGGACCTATTATTGTTGTTGCTCCATAAATTGAAATCTACCTAATCTGGTTAATCAAATGATTTTAAGCAACATAATGGGAGTGGGCAAGGATGGCCATCATCAGGGTTAGGAGTTTACAGTTTGCCCCTCCATTTGCTACTTCTAGATTTGCTGTCTTTCAGTAATGGAGACTCAAAGTTAATATTGACCAAGTTATAAAGTTGATATTATATGGGCTGATGTTTATTTGCTTGTTGGCTTCTGATCTTAAAAAGCAAACCATTCATAGTTATATTTTGCTAGACCAAATGTGATATGCTTGTAAGGACCTAATTTCAGTACATATATTTCCGTTGGTTGTAAATGTTCATACGTATATTTTACTTATTGACAGAGGCAGAAGGAGCGAGATACAGAAATGGTCCGTTGATGTATTAGAAGAGGAGCAGTAGCGTGAACACGTCGTCCAGTAAAGAAACCAGTCCCAGCAATTAGCTAAAGAATTCATCCAACTTCAAGAATTGTTGGATGTATACAATGACCTCTAACAAAATAAATATAGCAGACGATGAGTGGTTTCAGCTGGTGGTGGAAATTCATGTTTGCATCTTTACTGATTGTAATACTTAATGAAACAAAGTTTTGAACCCTTTTCAATTCGAACCACACTCATTACTTTGGAACCATTTATAGACAGTTTTTCTAAGAGAATATATATGTATGCAAATGGCAAGTTCCGTTATTTCATGAATTAAAGTTTGTCTTTTCTTGTTTTCAAACTTCTGTATCGGTAGATATTTGGTTGCCTTCCATTTTCTAATCAAATCATTTGCTTCACAGTTTTCTCACTTGTTAGCTTGATCCCTTATTCTCTTGCTGCTGAAGTATTTCGATTCAATCTTTTCATTTTAACAATTCAAATTTCTTAGCATCATATATTATGCTATCATTCTTATTACAGAATGCGTCGCGCAACAGTAGAACTAGTTATATATGAATTGTTTTTGTAAAATTGCCCAATATTTAATACATCCTACTATATTAGAAACAAAAACCTCCCTTTCAAACACCTCATATGATTGCCACGTGGCATGTAGAAAGTACTAAATTGCCCTTTTGTTTAACCATAACTAAATTACTAAATTTCCCTTTGCACTTTACGTGACACGTTTTTTTTTATTTTATTTTTTCTTTATGTTTCATTCAACTAGAGTGGTTTTTTAAATTGAATTGATCAATTAGGTTTTTGTTACAAAGTGTCAACTTTGTTTTAACCGTATACCCTTCGGATGAATCTTATTACAAAACTATTAAAAATCTCCAAAACTAAGTATTGATTTGGCACGACCAATGGAGAACATCAATAAATCATCTTACTAATATTTAAATTTATTAGGATGCTTTTATATTTTATCTAACATTTACTTCAACACATTTATTCGATTAAGGCTATTTATATTTAATAAGTAACACTTATAAAACATTTCTAAAACATACATGGCGAAATACAATTTTTTTTTTTTTTTGTTTGTGTGAAATACAAATATTTCTATGATCACACTTGTAAAACATTTCTAATTCCTTCAAACATTTCTAAAATATATCGCTACTAATACAAAATTTTATTTTTTTTCAAATATAAATATTTCTAAGATCTACAGATAGACTGGGCCAGGGTCGCGCATTGCGCGATCAGACATCACTAATCTTAAAAAGTAAATTTAAACCCCATAGATCACAATCTTGTGACTTCTAGTTGCAACCCTCTCTAGACAAGTCGCTTCCGACCAAATCTCCTGAAATCCTACTGATTTTTTCAGTTGTACATTCTCACATTGTGAAGCATGCTTTTCCCATTCACTGTTCTGCTCAAGTATAGTTTCAGATAGTCCTCATACTTGACTGTCTTGTACTTGGCTCCATCTTCTCTCACAAGATCCGATAAGGGACTGATTTTGGCTTCTCCAATCGGGTTGTGAAATGCAGCAATGGAGATCCTTTCCTTGTGGGAATTCACCATTGCTCTGTGTTCAATGCTTTCATACACCCCATTGCTCATGATCTGCAATGCAAAGATGTAAACTCGGACGTTATTTATGTATTAAAGGTGGGATGTGGTGAGCATGATAAAACTTCATTTACCTCCATGGCATCGCCGATGTTTACAATGATGGCTCCCGGAAGGGGCTTAACGGATATCCATTTACCATTTTTGCGGATTTGGAGGCCTTCCACTTCGTCGGACTGAACCAATAAGGTCAGCATATCGACATCAGAGTGTGGACTTAAACCGACAACCTTGTCAGCTTAGGAGCAAGGTGGATAATAGTTCATTCTTATTGTTTGTATTAACTCCTTGTACATGCCTGAAAATTCTTCGAATTTCACCCCGAGATTTCTGGCCATCAATTCACAAAGTGTAGTGCAGATTTTTTGCAGCTCAAGCGAGTATTTCTCTAAGCTCGATCTGATATATTTGAGTAAGTCAACATTCAAACTTCTTGCAATATGTGTAAGAGCTTGCGCATACTGTTCTTTGTGTTGAGCGATATTAATATTTCACTTTCCAGATTTCTTATCAGAAACATAAATAGCATTGGTTTCTTTATTAGAATGAATACATTATTCTAGACATTCTAGTGTTAATGAAATCATCAGGAACAAAATCAGGAATTACGAACCTGAAAGATGAAGGATTGTTAGGCCAGAATCTCATGTTCCTTGAAGACTCCGGAAGAGAGTAAATGTAGAGCATGTCGTTCCAGTCGAGTTTATGATCATCCGAGAAAACTAAGGCTTGACCGTACCCCTCAGGATTGTTTGGCAGTTTTGCATAAATCTTCTTCTCTTGTAACGGCAATTTGAAGAATTGCTGTAGATCCACCTTCATCTTCTCAATTGTTGATGTTGCTCCATGATGAGTTAACTGCCTCAAGAGGTAGATCAATAATAAGTCTAAAAGAAAAACTAGACTCAACAGGATATAGATTGCAAAATTACCAGGAAGAATCCCCAATCCTTGCAAGCCTGATGAAGTTTTGACATTTCAGTTTGATATCCGGCATCGCCAGCTTCAAGCTTGCGCAGATCAATAACTGGAATTTGTGATGACTCATTGACTGAAACTACATCTGTCTGCATTTCAGGTCGGATGTACCGAGAAGGGATCTCTTTGAGATTATGGGAAGCTAGTTCTTGCACGTTTCCGAGGGGAAGTGAAGGTGCAGTTCGATTTACACTCTGACTCTCGCTAATCTCCATTGATGATCGGAGCTATTAGGAAGTCCTGTTTTTATTGTTCTTTTTGAGTTTAGCAAGAGAGATGATATTTATGTTGCCATGTAGGGCGCCTCTCTTGTGTTTTTTAAACTTTTGGTATGGTTCACGTGACCCTTATTTTAATTATTCTGCAGTCGTTGATTGATTTCAGGCCTAGTCTAGAATGAACACCTAATCCTCTAAAATAATGGAAGAAGAACCACCATAAAAAGATTCCTAGTGTCTGAACAAAACTTTTACACAATCATACTTCTGGTGGTGTTGGATAAATCATTTAACTCAATTCACTTTTTTTTTTTTAAATCGATGCAAATACAAGCGATTAAAAGAGATTCATCCATTTACACATTTTTAAGGGCCTAGCCTATATAACTTGGAAAATTTAAAATTACAAAAACAAGAAAAGAAATCACTGCAATCTGCAAAAGCATCGATCATCTTGGTCCATGTAGAACATATAGCAAAAGACTATTGACTTCTTTTGAGGTAATTTGTAGCAGACCCTTAACAAAGAGAATATGTGGTGTTTGAAAGGCAATATAATCCAGAGTATACTAACTCTTTTGCATTCCTTAAACTATACGGTGTATAATTTATAGGTATGGAAGACTTGTCAACCGGATTTCTCATTCACATCTTTATACAATGATTTATTTCTTAAACACATTTTTCATGCTGTTGTTTGGTTTTTTTTTTTTTTTTTTTCTTGTAAGTAATAAGCAGTGTGGACTTCTCGCAATATGGAAGCAGTAATACATTATTTTCTTAAGTAGTTTTAGGTAACCATCATTCTGTCTTGGGTGATCATTTGTTTTGGGTGTCAGCACATAAGCAATATAATACATTATGTTGTGGAGTTAGTATTAATGTTTTGAATCCTTACAGGAGAATGGAACATAAAATTGTCATTCATCAATAATTGATCAGAGTTAGATTGATTTGCAATTTGCAAGTGAGCAGAGTTTACACATATCTGAACTTGACTCTCTGGAAATAAGTTTCTTCAGACTTGTAGATTCCCTGGAATATATGTATACTAATAATTTGTCATCCGTATATTTTCACATCATCAAGCGTGCTTTTGCCAGCATGTCTTCTGCCAAGAAAAAGTTTAATATAATCCTTAAACTTCACTGTCTTGTATTTGGCTCCATCTTCTGCAAAACAGTATTTATCTTTCGTTACCTGAAAGAATCCCCAATCCCTGCAAGCCTGGTGAAGTTTTGACATTTCAGTTTCATATTCGGCACTGCCAGCTGCAAGCTTGCTCATATCAATGATTGGAATTTGCGATGACTTGTCGACTAAAATTTCATTGCCCTGATTTCAGATCGGATGTATCGATGTGGGATATCTTTCAAGTTCTTGGAGGCTAGTTCTTGCATGTTTTCAACATCAACTGGAATACCTTGGGCATCATTAGTCTCCATTGATGACATGATGTTGCAGAACCTAACTTTTAGTAATGCCCTCTTTCAGTTGTTGCTCCTTGAGGTCAACTATAGAACAAGTGATATTTTTTTTGTTCTTTATTTTATTTTATTTTATTTTCATTTTTGGTAATAAAAATACTTTTTAAACGGAGAGAGTATTTCATAATTTTATACCAATAGAATACTATTATTGGACAACAAAACTTTGTACATTTTAAAATAAACTAGTCCTGATTCAATTATACATTCCAAACCTTCAAAATTTAATTAGGTAGGACCTGGATTGTTGACAGCCTAGCTACTAAGCCTTCATTTGGACAAGAGTTTTGAAAAGTTGTTCAAAAAAGTCTGTTTGAAACAAAAGTTGAAAAAGTATTTTTTGGAAAATAATGCATTTGGACAAGAATTTTTCAAAACCCTTTTACGAATTAAAAATATGAAAAAGCCATTTGGATTAAGTCTTTTTCAAAACTACTTTTTTGGTAAAAAACCTTTTCATATACATAATAGTTAAACAATATATACAGTGATTTTGATATATAAATTTGAATGAAATTTTTAATTCCAAAAATATTAACAACGGTTCTTAACAGAAAGATCTCGTCGCATAGATTAATTTGATATAAGCATGTTGTCTAAATATTTATATATTAAAAGATATAATCATTTGAAAAAATAGGATAAAACTGAAAATAAATAAAAATTAAAAAGAAAAGTGGCGCCGACAACAGTATGAGAAGTGAGGAAAAGATGAGAAGGGAGGAGAACCGCGCATCGCGTGTAACGCACCTCTTTTTTTTTTTAGTCTTGTTAATGATATTCATGACCCGATTTTTTATAACCCACTTTCGACACGGATTATGACCCGCGAACGGAGCTAAAAAGACTGTTTCAAAAAATTAAAAAATATCCCCCTATCTATTTTCTAAAAATTATATTTCATACCTTGTTTTTTTCAAATTGATATTTAGAGAAGACTTTAATTATTTTGTCGAAACGCTTTTTAAACTCTAAACAAACTTTTTAGCCTTAAAAGTGTTTTTAAAACTCTTGTCCAAATGGAGCCTAACTATCTTCCATTAGTTTAATGAATGCTATAGTCATCGGATTTCTTCATAACAAGGCCGCCATTACTTATGAGATCACAATTCCTCAAAGCATTGAACATTTAATTTCCTGAACTTCATGATTAATCATTTTCAAGACTTTGATCCAAGAGATTATTTTGTGTTGTGTATGCATTAGAGTTATTTGTGTTGCATCTGGTTTGCTAAACAGCCAAAAACAATCAATTTGGTCTTCCATGCTTACCCTTCCACTGTTTTGAAGCTTTTAAGCACTGAAATTCCTGTTAAAAAAACTTATTACCAGTCCTATAAAAGGTTTGACAAAGTTCAATTTTTTGGGAGCATGCTTTCTTTAGGTAAGTTACTGGCTTGTAGAGCCGCGTAAACGGTTCTGGATTTTCAGTTGTGTATTTTAGCATCGTCAAGCTGGCATTTGCCACTTAGTGTTGGGGATTTTAATTCCCGCTTGGTGGGTTGTCAAACCAAAAAATATATTAACCTACTTCACAGATAATGGTAATATAAGAATTGTGTACTCAGGGAATGTGGATTTGTTTCTTTCAAATGAGTAGCCAAAAAGAGGGGAGTTTTGAATTTGATGCGAAATTTCTAACATTTAAATTAAATGATAGAATGAAATGGTTTGGAGTAACCCGAAGATAAAAATCTCTAGTCAATATTATCATCCTTTCTTCATGAAATAATCATCACCACTCACCAGCCAGTTTATTCTAGTTACTGCCAGGAAAAACAGTAAAATGACGTATGTTGTTTTCTTATGTGCCAATGTTTGCTGGATAAAAGATACATAGAGAAACAAAAGAAATTACACAGTTCTACTGATTTCAGACTTCTCGGTCGCGTATTTTCACAGCATCGATCATGCTTTTGCCGCTTAGTCTGCTGTTGTGAAACATTTTTACAAATTCCTCGTACTTCATGGTCTTGTATTTGGCTCCATTTTGTTTCACGAGATCAGGCAGGGGACCGATTATTGATGATATACTTGAGTGTGAAATGCAGCAATGGATATCCTTTCCTTCTGTGAATCTACCACAGCTCTATACTCAATGCTTCTTGACGAGTCCAATATACTCGACCCTCAACCGTGGTCGGTCCAAGTTCGAGAAACGATCCAGCCGACTATTCTGAAGATTCTAGGTCGGTTCCTAATTACTTTCTTACCAAAAAAGGGTTTCATAACCTAGCTCTACAAATAGGGATCAACCTCTCACATCAAAGATATGCTCTACGCACCATATCTATACCCTTATCACAATTACTTTTACTGACTTAAGCATCAGAGTGTCTACTCTCGGGAGACCCCGAGGCTCTGTTTTACAGGTATTAGGGTTTCAATGCCGCCATGACCAAATCCATACTTCGTCACTTCTATACTCCCCATTGCTCATTATCTGCAGCCAAAAACACATTTAAGCTAAGTTTGCGGTTGGAGAAAAATGTCTAATAAAGAGGAGATCTTGTTGCTGTTCTGAGTAACTTATACTTACCTCCAGTACATTACCAATATTGACAACGATGGCATCATGAAGAGGTTTTACAGGTACCCAATTACCATTTTTGAGGATTTGGAGACCTTCAACTTCATTGACTTGTACCAATAAGGTCATTTGAGATCCATCAGAGTGTGGGGTGATGCCGATAACTTTGTCAGCTTGGCAGCAAGGAGGATAGTAATTGATTCTGATTGCTTATGTTCATTCATGATCAATGTCGACCAAGTCTTTGAATTCCACCCCAAGATTCATGGCAATCGATTCATAGAGGCTAATGCAGATTCTGTTCAGCTCGGGCGAGTATTCCTCTAAGCTTGGGCTGATATGTGAAGGCAGAGTTTGTAAGTTTGTGAGAAGAGCTAGGTGATTTCGGGAAACAGTTATCCTGAAATTAACCTGAAAGATGTAGGATCATCAGGCCAAAATTTCATATTCCTTGCTGAGATATCGGAATAGTAAAAAATCAACAGCATGTCATTCCAGTCGAGCTTTTGATCATCCGACATAACAAATGCTTGACCATACCCTTGAAGACCATCTGGCTGTTGTGCGTAGACCAGCTTCTCTTCTAATGACAGATTAAAGAATTCCTGCACAGCCGTCTTCATTTTCTCATTGCTGTTGTAGCTCCATGCATGGTTAGTCAACTGTCTCAAGAAATTATTTAGGAATGATTAGATCAACAAGTCAAACTTACAACAGTAAATTAGCAGACAGAGATTGCAAAATATGATTCTTTATCACCTGAAAAAAATCCCCAATCCTTGCAAGCGTGATGAAATTTCGACATTTCAGTTTGATATTCAGTGTTGCCAGCGACAAGCTTGCTTATATCAATCACTGGAATTTGTGATGACTCGTTGACCGAAACTTCATCTTTCCTGATTTCAGGTCGGATGTATCGATGTGGGATTTCTTCTAAGGCTTTTGAAGCAAGTTGTTGAACATTTTCAACCGGAAGAGGAACACCAATATTCTTAATATCGTTGACAACCTTATCCTCCATTGATGATTAATGTTGCAGAACCTAACTATCAATTTTACCAATTATTTTTAAACTACTGGAAAAATCATATCTGAGAAAATGAAATTGCAAATTAAACGTGGGTCATTTATATTGTGTTTGGAATACTCTTTGACTCAAACAAGACATTAATTTTGAAGTACAAATATAGAACTGCACTCAGCATTAAGGCAAAAGGGTAATTGATGATCAGGACCCTTGACAGTTTAAACATTTCAATCTGCCCTTCAAAAATGTTGAATTTGGTAGTTTGCAGTAACAAGCCAATGCTCTTTGAGCTCTATCTGAAGCTCTTATTACTGATTTCAGATCTCTCAGTTGTGTATTTTCACAGCCTCAATCATGCTTTTGCCACTTAGTCTGCTGCTGTGATACATTTTTGCATAGTCCTCGTATCTCATGGTCTTGTATTTGGCTCCATCTTTTTCCGCAAGGTCCGGCAGGGGACCGATTGTTGCTGCTATGGTTGGACCGTGGAAAGCAGCAATGGATAGCCTTTCCTTCTCTGAATTGACCACAGCTCTATGCTCAATGCTTCTGTACTCCCCATTACTCATGATCTGCGAACGCGAAACTCATTACTCTAGTTTGATTTTAAAGTGGGGGAACTAAATGATCAGAATTGCTTATTGATTTACCTCCATGACATCACCAATATTTACGATAATGCATCAGGAAGAGGTTTTATAGGCACCCATTTACCATTTTTGCGGATTTGGAGGCCTTCAACTTCATTCACTTGAACCAATAAGGTCAGTTGAGATCCATCAGAGTGCGGAGAGATACCAATAACCTTGTCTGCTTTGGAACATGGTGGGTAGTAAGTCATTCTTATAACCTGTGTACATTCCTGATAAATTTTGACCATTTCCTTGAATTCCACCCCGAGATTCACAGCCATATGTTCATAGAGACTAATGCAGATTCTGTTGAGCTCGCGCGAGTGTGCCTCTAAGCTGGATCTGATATATATGTGGTTGGCAGAAATTAGTCAATAAGTAAACTGTGGTCAAATCTTACATACAGTACTAATCCTTTTATCCTTATGTTTGAGCAATATTTTTATTAGCACTTTTAATAACTTCATTGGAATCCATTACTCCAAACATTCAAGGGACAACTATATATCAGGAACGAATTCTGAATATACGAACCTGAAAGATGTGGGATTGTTAGGCCAGAACTTCATTTTCCTTCCAGACTCCGGAATAGGAAACAGCAAGAGCATGTCGTTCCAATCGAGTTTTTGATCATCCGACAAAACAAATACTTGACCGTACCCTTCAAGATTGCCTGGAAGTTGTGCATAAACCATCTTTTCCTCTAATGGCAAGTTAAAGAAGTCCCTGGCATCCGCCTTCATTTTGTCAATTGCTTTTGTAGCTCCATGATTAGTCAACTATCTCCGAAAAAGAAAAAAAGGGTCATGAATAATTAGATCTGACTGAGTATGAGCTTACAACACTAAGATCAACACAAACAGATTGCAAAAAATCTCAAATTGGACAAATTTTGGCACAGAGGGAGTACTTATTATGTGATTTGTTACAACCTGAAAGAATCCCCACTCCTTACACGCCTGATGAAGTTTTGACATTTCCGTTTGGTATCCATTGTTTCCAGCAACAACAAGCTTGCTCAGATCAATGACAGGAATTTGTGATGACTCGTTGACTGAAACTTCATCTGTAATGAGTTCAGATTGGATGTATCGTTGCGGAATGTCTTTCAAGTTCCTGGAAGCAAGTTCTTGCACATTTTCAACCGGAAGTGAAACACCAATGTTGTTAATGCCTAGGACATCATTATTCTCCATTGATGAAAATTGTTTCAGAACTGCAGAACTAAGCAAACTATCATCCCAATAGAAATGAGCAGTTTGACCTTTGATAAGTTCGAGAAGATGAGAGAGGTGACAGTACTAGACAATTAGGTTGGCTTAATATTAATTTTGTTGCAACTGAATCGATGTCCCCACCAAACCTGGACAGTTCAAATTTCAACACAACATATGAAGAATATTTTAATCACCGGAATCTTTTTGTGACTCCATTCCAATTTACTCTTTCTTTCTTTTTTTTTTTCTTTTTTTTTTTTCCTAATGACAATATTCTCTGCACCAATGTTACAATGATTTATTTCTTAAACACTTTTTTTAGGCAGTGTGGACTTCTCGCAGTATGGAAGCATTATATTTTCTCAAGTAGTTTTAGGCAACCATCATTCTGTCTTGGGTGATCATTTGTTTACGGTGTCAGCACCTAATCAATTGTATAAGTTATGGTGTGGAGTTGTATTAATGTTTTGAAGCCTTACAGGAGAAGTGGAGATAAAATTTTGTCCTTATCAATAACTGATACTCTATTGTATTGATTTGCAATTTGCATGTGAGCAAAGTTTACATATCTCAACTTGACTCTCTGGAAATAAGTGTTATCTTCAGACTTGTAGATTCCCTGGAATATATGTATACTAATAATCTGTCATCTGTATATCTTCGCATCATCGAGCGTGCTTTTGCCAACAAAAAGTTTAATATAATCCTTAAACTTCACTGACTTGTATTTGGCTCCATCTTCTTTCACAAGGTTGGGCAGGGGCCGGATTTCCGCTTCTGGAGTTGGCCGGTGAAATGCGGCAATGGATAGCCTATCCTTCTGGGAGTTAACCATAGCTCTATGCTCAATGCTTCTAATGCTTCTATACTCCCCATTCCTCATTATCTGCATTAATGTAGAAACCTTTAGCCGATGGTTTCATACTTTTATCCTTCTTCTTTACAACTGCTTGACCATATCCTTGAACACTGCCCGAAATTTGTGCACAGACCATCTTCTCTTCTAAGGGCAGCTTAAAGAAGTATCCTGTGCAGGCGTGCACCCACCTTCATATTTTCGATTGCTGTTCTTGCTCCGTGATTAGCCAGCTGGCTCTCGAAATATCGATTTTGACGAGTCCATATCCACCCCTGGATATGGATCGGCCCAATCACTCCGTACAAGGTCCAACCGACTGTGAAGTCGGCGGTTTAATATTATTAAATCTAGTAATATTCGGATACTTCTAAGGTCTATAAATAGGGATGATTATTCCACAATTGAGGTACACTATCTCCAGCACCAATTCACATATACACATTATTTTGCAACCCTATTTTCTGACTTAAGTTTCGGAGTGTCTACTCTCGGGTGGCTCCAAGACTCTGTTTTACAAGAAACCCAAATCGGAGTTCCACTATCCAGCCGGAGGCGCAATTCCAGGCATCTTAAAGTGGCACGCCCAGTGGGACCCGAGAATTAGGGTTTGTGTCACAAAGCTTTCCCAAGCTTTCAGAACGTTTTTGATCCGCTGCTACCACTCCAAACTAAGGTTTTTCCAAGATAGGATGGCTATAATCAATAATCCTCAATCCATTACCGTATCAACCGGTAGGCGTGAAAGTCCCAATGATGATGAAATCCTAGCGGGATTTCAGGAGAGGCAGAAGCGGAAGAGAAACGACCGGCAGTCGAAAAGAAAGAAAACCCCCCACAAAACCAACTAGTCATGGAGGTGAGGGGGAGGGATATCTGGAAACCCACCGTAAAATTCCTAATCCATACCAAAAGCAGCGACTGGTCGAAGAATTTGGTATGAAGAATTTGAAGAATTTGAAAGACAACAATTCCTTTAATCAAAGAAAAAAGAAATATATACTAGAGAAATACTAACATTGTTGCTTCCTTGGCCTCCCCCATCCTACGAATCAAGAGCTGGAAGATCTGGTCGAGGAGATGGAGGCGAAGAGGACGTTAGCCCTCCTCGAAGTGAGGCGGGAAAAACGAAAAGTCCCGGGTGAAGGGAGAGAAGAATTTCACAAGGAAGCCCACAATCGCGAAACTTGTCGCGTCGAGCTCTCCGAAACCCCTGGTGACACCTTCTGAGATGCTCTCGAGGGAACGAATCCAGCGGTTTACGCAACAACTGAGAAACTTGCAAAAGAACATGAACAAAAAAAACAGTCTCACCGCCAGCATAGCTCACGATCACCCAGTGTCGAGGAGTTGCCGAGAGGGAATTGGGACTCCCCTCCAAGAGGTAACACTCACTCTTGACTGGGGCCTAAAACTCCTCCGGTGAAGTCTTACCACGATCACCGTGATATTCACCACAAATCAAGATACCTCCCTTATGGTCATCAGAGGTACGACGTCCCATATCCTAAAGAGCCCAAATTTGCTCGACAACAAGAGAATCAATGCTACAAAGACCTGTCCATTCGCGACTCGATGAGAAGAATGATAGGAATGATCGTGGACAAGAGTCCTTTTGTCCCGCGGATTCGGGACTGTTCGAAACCTCGAGTCTTTGACTTCCCAAAATACTTCGTCAACTACTCGGGAGACACTGATCCACAACAATTTTTGCCCAAGTATGTGCAGGTCATGAGAATTCGGAACGCGTCTCTTGACTTCATGGCCAAAGCTCTGCCATCTTTCCTCGATGGATAAGCACAACGTTGGTTTGGACGGTTACCGGAAGGAAGTATTGACAGTTTTGAGGACTTATCAGTGAAAGTAGCCACACGCTTCTTTCCCAGCAAGCAAATTACAAAAATGTCAATTGACCAGGCATCGATCAAGCAAGGACAGAACGAGAGTCTCTCGGATTTCCATCGCCGTTTTACACGAGAATCTCTCCAAGTAGATTACCTCGATGATAGAGACATCCAAGACGGATTTATCCAAGGTCTCAATCCATTGGGAAAGTCTGCTCACATGCGAGTGAAGTTGACCACCAAACCTCCTCGAAACACACAGGAGATGTGGGCCACAGTAGAAAGTTATATCCAGGGCGAACAGACACTCAAGCGATCGCAGGAATACTTCTCGTTTGCAGGAGATCGAGGGGGAAGGGACAAGTACAAGTCAACGACGAAGAATAAACCGCCCTTGCCTAGGCTCGATCGAACCTTAACCCCGTTGTTGAAACCTCGACGAGAAATACTTCAGATTCACAAGGACGAGTTCCCCGTTCCAAAACCATTAGCTCACAACCCGAACAGGTCCACAAATCAGTAATGTGAATACCATAAAGACCACGGGCATGATACGGAAGATTGCAGGGAACTCAAGCGAAAAATTGAAGCCGGAGTCAAATCTGGAAAGTTTCAGCAATATATACAAAACACACAAGGTACTCCTCGAGAAAAGGGAGAGAAGTTCGCGGGACCCCGTAATTTTCCTAAATGGAATAATAACCGCGGTCCTCGAGGCGATAGTCGAGAAAACAATTGGCAACAAAGGAATAACTCGCAGCAGCCTGCCCAACAATCCTTGGACGGAGGGCTACAACTGATTTAGCAAGTTCCTCCTCCTGATCCAACCAAACAGATCACTCACAACGTAGGAGCTATCTACGGCGCGTCCCTTGAGGTCTTGTCCACAACAGCAATGAAAGCATCACTTCGAGAAGTAACTAAGACACCACCTCAAGAACCAAGTCACAAACGATTCAAATGGACGGAGGCAATAGTCGTTACGGACAGTGATGTTGTCCCGGGCATCTTTCCACACAATTATGCAATGGTTATCAAGGCCATCATAAGAAGTGTCAAAGTAAGCTGAGTATATGTTGATAACGGAAGTGCGGTGGATATAATATACAGTGAGTGTTTCAAGAAGATGAACGTAAAAAATCCAGATTGGCGTCCCGCAACATTACTGCTAATGGGCTTTTCAGGACACACGATAATCCCTAGCGGGATTGTCAGGCTTTCTATCACGGTAGGGTCGCATTCTCGAATGGTAACCCTAACAATAGATTTCGCCATAATTGATGCACCCTCACCATTTAATGTGATCCTAGGACGGCCATGGATATGTCAAGACCACGCTGTTTGGTCACCCTACCACTTGGTCATGAAGTTTCCAACAGAGTATGGGGTAGGAAGTGTGCAAGGAAGCCAGCGTAGTTCTCGAGAATGCTTGCTCACAGCGGTGAAAATCGGGAAGAAGACAGTAAAGCCAGAGCTAGGTGTCACCGCGTCAGGGTGTTACTCTTTTCAACAAGGAGTGTTACCAATTGAATGTAAAGGGCAAGAGCAGGACATGGATTTCGATCATCCCCAGCAGCCACCACTGAGCAGCAAGACAGAAGAGTTGATCCTGGATAAGAAAGAGCCAGAAAAGACAATTAAGCTCGGAATATCTATAAAGGGAATCTTGCAAGTCGAGGTAATGGCCTTGATACTCAAATTTCGAGATATCTTTGCTTGGTCACCATCTGATATGACCAAAGTTCCTCGAGAAGTCATCGAGCACAGGTTGAATGTCGACCCAATGTCAAACCGGTCAAACAGAAAAAGAGAAGTTTTGTCAGAGACCGCAATGACGTCATTAACGAGGAAACGCTCAAATTGGTCCGCGCCAACATTCTCTGAGAATTCCTTTGGCCAACGTGGCTGGCCAACCCGGTCCTTGTCCGAAAACCGGATAATTCCTGGCGAATGTGTCAGGATTACACAGATCTTAACAAACATTACCCTAAGGATTGTTACCTTTTGCCCGTCATTGATCGGATGGTCGATGGCATAACCGGTTTTAGAATACTTAGCTTCCTCAATGCATATAAAGGATACCACTAGATTCTCATGGCTCGAGAAGATGCTGAGAAAACAGCCTACATCACCAAAATTGGAGTGTACTGCTACAATACGCTAGAGCCACCTATCAACCTCTAGTCAACAGAGCTTTCCACGATCAAATCGGGCGAAACATCGAAATTTATGTGGGTGACATGGTCATCAAGAGCAACCTCGACAACAAGGTAGTTGAAGACCTGAGGGAGATCTTCACAATTCTTCGAGCAATTAACATGAAGTTGAACCCAAAGAAGTGCACTTTTTGCATTGAATCCGGGAAATTCCTAGGCTTTCAAGTATCAAAAGACGGAATAAGCGTTGATCCCACAAAATTCAAAGTAATTTTGTCCATGGAAGCTCCAAAAACAGTCGAAGAGGTTCAAAAGCTTACGGGATTCCTGGCAGCATTAAACAGGTTCCTATCTCGAGTCGCAGAGAGAAGCCTCCCTTTTTTCAAGACGTTGCGAAAAGGGAGGAGTTTTGCAGGGACTGAAGAGTGTCAGACTGTCTTCTAGGACCTGAAAGAGCATCTCAAGCAGCTTCCCATATTAGCTAAACCGGAGCCGGGAGAAACCCTATACGTTTATCTGGCTGCTCGAGAAACCGCCATATCCGTGGTTCTCATCCAGAAAAAAGACGACAAAGAAATTCCAGTTTACTTTGTGAGCAAAGTCCTACAGGGGGTAGAATCTCAATAGACCCCGATGGAAAAACTGATACTAAGTCTGGTGCTCGCTGCTCGATGGCTTCGTCCGTACTTCCAAGCTCACCCAATTCAGGTCTTAACCAAGCAACCTATACAGCAAGTTCTTCTCAAGCCTGAGGCTTTGGGCAGAATGATGAAATGGACCGTCGAGCTGGGGGAACACCATATCGAGTATAAGCCTAGGACGGCTATAAAAGGGCAGGCATTTGCGGATTTCCTTGTCGTGATGCCCCGCGCTCCAAACACCATGCCGGGACCACTACCAAAAACACCACCACAGAAACACACTCCTGTAGATTCACGAGCTTAGACTCTTTACATCGACGGCTCGTCTTGTGAGGATGGGGGAGGAGCTGGGATTATATTAGCCAAACCAACTACGCCACAAGAAATCGAAGAGATGAAAGAATATGAGGCTGAATATTCCTATGCTTTGTGGTTTGGTTTCCCGGTAACCAACAATGTGGCTGAATACGAAGCAATGACAACAGGGTTAAACGTGGATCTAAGGCTAGGAGTCTGGAATTTGGAAGTTTTTAGCGACTCCCAAGTGGTGGTTAGGAAAATTGGCAACAATTACACTATCCGGGAAGAGCATCTCCGGCCATACCTTGAAAAAGTCATCGAGTTCAAGGACAAGTTCGAGAAATGTTCTATCTCTCACATTCTCAGAACTAGCAACAAAAGAGCCGATGCCCTGAGTAAGCTAGCTTCATCTAACTTTGCACAATTAAGTCATAAGGTTTGGGTTGAAATGCTCCCTGAACCTAGCATTTATCCCCGAGTCTCTCTTACTATCGCAGAAGATGGCAAAACATGGATGACTCCATTTCTACGGTTTCTCGAAACCGAGATGCTACCCGACAATAAGTCAGAGGCTCGAGTACTGAAACTGAAGGCAGTCAAGTACACACTAAAGAACGGAATCTTGTATAAGCACGGGTATTTGTTGCCAATGCTGCGGTGTATCGGTCCCAGACAAGCAGCCTACGTCCTCGAAGAAATTCATGAAGTTTCATGCAGCGCCCATATGGGAGCAAGAGGATTAGCTAAAAAGGTTCTTCGATCAGGATCCTTTTGGCCGACAGTTTTCAAAGATGCCTACAAATTCGTGCAAAAGTGCGATAGATGTCAACGGTTCTCGCCTATCACTCGGCAACCACAACATGAAATGGTAACCATCCAAAGCCCGTGGCCATTCTACCAGTGGGGCACTGACATCATTGGCCCTTTTCCAAAAGGGGCAGGAGGACTACGATGGGTTATCCTGGCAGTAGACTATTTTACCAAGTGGGTAGAAGGAAAGCCATTAGCCTCGACGATATCTGGGAGACAGGTATTGAATTTTTTCTTGCAAAACATGGTTTGTCACTTTGGAGTGCCCAAGATAATTGTATCGGACAATGGGACTCAGTATGAAAGTGATCCGTTGAAGTCATGGTGTGCGAGATGCAAATCGAGCGTCGATTTTTTGCAGTTGCTCATCCTCAAGCAAACGGCCAAGCCGAGTCAATTAACAGAACCATTCTACATGGGATCAAGACTAGGCTGCACCACGCCAAGGGTACTTGGGTCGAAGAGCTCTCTCACGTTCTATGGGCATATCGCACTACGGCTCACTCCTCCATGGATGAAACACCTTACAATCTGGTCTATGGAATGGATGCAGTTCTCCCAGTAGAAATCGGTCTTCCCAGTCCTCGAACAACCAATAACGAAGACATCCTGACTAACCTCGACCTGCTCAAGGAACGGCGAGATGCCGTAAAAGTCCGGGAAGCCAAGTACAAAGAGATCCTCAGGAAACACGATAATAAGCGAGTCAAGAGCGCTGACTTCACAGTCGGGGATCTAGTACTCAGGAAAAATGAAGTCAGTCAAGCAAAAGCCCCGGGAAGGTTGTCAGCAAATTGGGAAGGACCTTATCGAGTCATTCAAGTCTCCCCGTCCGGCAACTATCGAGTACAGACAACAAATGACACAGAGACCACTCTTCTTCGATGGTGGAATATTCAGAACCTTCGCAGGTTCTATGTCTAAATTATTATATGCTATGTGCTATTTTGCTTGCTCTATGACTCGTTATTTTCATTTCCTTCATATGTAATACTATCTCGGGTCCCCGGACAATTATCAATAAAAGTCATTGCATATTTTCTATACTTTAAATGTGTCGACACTATTTTATGACAAGTCAGCGAGATGGACACCCTCTTTAGGGCCATCCTCGATTGTGCCGTGTATTCAACATCCGGACTTATAAACTGAGGATCTTTCCTCGTACCCATCGCAAATCGCAGTACTATTTCATCGAGGGACCCATACCTGGTTCCTCGACAGAGCCGTGTACTTTACATCCGGCCAATAAGCGCTTATACAAATTATGCTCGAGTACAACTACATAATCGACGCTTATACAAGCTCGAGATGAATATATTGCCCTCACATCGAGTGCGGGGTCAGAAATTTACACCACTATACATTTAAATCTTAAGATTCTTTCCCCTAGGGTTGACTCGGGATGACTTAATAACCCCAGAAAATCCAACGGCTCTAAGCTGGTTAATACAATGGTTTAGCTTATCCTTTAGATCTACGATCTCCCAATCTTGTTCGTCGATTCTAAGGAGATATTCCTTAGCAGTTGTCCTTTCTTTCGCTTCATCATCTGGATCGAGATCGTCAAAAATGGGCAGAGGGATTTCATTGTCAGCCAATATGTTCTGTAGAACAACGACTTGTTTCGAGTATAACTCTGCTTCTTTAATTCTCTTCTTTAAGAGATCAATTGCAGCTATGAAACGTTCTGTCCGGACTTCTATCTTCTTCTCGACCAAGGCAAGCAAGTCAAATTTCTCGAGGAACCATGGAGATATCGCGATCTTCTCACGCTTCCTCAGTCGAGCGTTTTCATCCTTCAGCTTTTTCATCTCGTCGTGGATATTCGCCTCTAGAATCAGGGAATCTTGGAAGTCGACATCGTATTGATGGAGTCGACGTCTGCACTCCTCCTCTTATTGCTTAAAACATTGAACCAAGCTAGAATGTATCTGCATGTTATAAGCTTGAACAACATCCACAATCACTTTCTCGAGCGCTCTCACTATAACATTGTTGTGAACATTCTCGAATTTTCTCAATGCTGATGAAATCATGGCATACATGGGGAAATGTTTGATCTCATCTTTCTCAAGAATCATCAGGTACACATTATGGACATAATATGGTTCCTGACATAATCAGCAAGGATACATTAAAAAGAACGAGAGGAAAGGAAGAAAAGACATTCTGTAAATCCCAAGTAGATAGAATTCATTCAACAACCACTACAGAAGGCTAAGGTCTACAACCTAAGTAGCAAAAACCCTGTTACAAGATAGGGGCTCATACAGTATTTGGGTTGGGCAGGACATTTGGTTGGCTCTCACTGGTTTCCTCGGTAGGATCCTGAGTCGATGAAACCTCTTTCTCGCCTGCCAGATCCTTCTCGACTTCAGGCTCCCGCTCCTCCTCTTCATCTTCCTCGACTCTCTCTGAGGACTCTTCATCAGAAACCAGCTCGACACCAATAAAATCTTGGTCAAGCTCTGGTACTCGAATCTCTTCCCCAGGCTCAGTGGATAGCACCGTTGGAGCATCCCCTTCAAAGGCGGTGATTTGCAAGGGTGAACCCATTTGGGAGATGGCGCTACACAAAGGCCCGAACAAAGGGAGTTGTTCAAGGCCAAGATGCATCAACTCATTCTTCATTGCCTCATGCAGGGTTTTGCAAGGATGCGGCTTCAGGAATTGTTGTAGCCAACCGGCATCGTCAGATTTCATGAACAAAGAACGAATACTAAATGCAGAATATGGGTCTTAAAAAAAGAATCCTCAGTCCTTGCAAGCCTGATGAAGTTTCGACATTTCAGTTTCATATTCGGCGTTACCAGCAACAAGCTTGCACATATCAATGACTGGAATTTGTGATGACTCGTTGACTGAAACATCATCCGTCCTGATTTCAGATCGGATGAATCGATGTGGGATCTCTTTCAGGTTCTTGGAAGCTAGCTCTTGCACATTTTTCAACCCGATGTGAAACACCAACTTTGTCATTACCTTGACAAACGGCTTTTATTCTCCATGGATGAATAAAGTTGCAGAGCAAACTCTAAAACACAATATTAACCCTCGAGTTCAGCAAGAAGAGGTCAAAATAATTCTGAGCAGCAGGATTAAATAATTCCAAGACTTTGATTCGAAGAAATAGTTAGTTTGCTACATCGGAGTGTTTTCTGTCCCCAGGCGTCTACACAGAAGTCAAGCTAATCGCGATCGAGTTTAATGACTTTAGAGAAGAAGGGTTTCTGAATTGCATATGAAACCATTCAAACGTTTCTGTCAAGTTAATTAGTTCGACTTTTATGTCTTTGCCAAGTTGATCTACTTCGGCACGACATCCAGGTCGCAAGCAACGCCTGCACACAAGTCAGGCTAATCATGTCTAACATTTCATTGTGGACTTCTGTCAAACAATTTCTTCCCAAATCGGAAGCACCAATATTTTCTTAAGTAGTTCAAGTAACCATCACTCTGTAATGGGTGATCATTAGGTTATGGTGACCTACGATCTATCAGAACCTATTTAAATCTTAGCCTATATATTATTAAAATTGAACGGGAAGTATAAGTAAAACAAAAGGCAATCGAAAAGCCAGTAATCTTGCAATTTTGCAATTTGTCAGTTGTATGTCTTCACATTATCTAGCATGTTTTTGCCATTTAATTTGCTGCGAAAAAACAATTTCCGATAGTCATCATACTTCACTATCTTGTATTTGGCTCCATTTTCTTTCACAAGATTTGATAAGGGACCGATTACTGCTTCTGGAGTTGGACGGTGAAAAGCCGCAATGGATATCCTTTCTGTCAGGGAATTCACCACAGCTCTATGCTCAATGCTTTCATACTCTCCATTGCTCATTATCTGCATCAACAAAAACCACTTTTCTCTTATTTTCAGACGAATCGAGCAAATATAAAGGCGAAAGCAGGAGAAAAGAATCCGTTACCTCCATGGCGTCGCCAGTGTTTACAATGATGGCTCCAGGAAGAGGTTTAACAGGCACCCATTTACCATTTTTCCGGATTTGGAGACCTTCCACTTCGTTGACTTGAACCAATAAGGTAAGTAGGACTGGATCAGAATGTGGAGTGATACCCAAAACCTTGTCAGGTTGAGAACAAGGTGGATAGCAGGCGATTCTTATTGATTGTGTGCATTCCTGACACATGCTGACGAATTCCTTGGATTCCACCCCGAGATTCACAGCCATTAATTCAAGAAGTCTGATGCAGATCTTTTGCAACTCTCGCGAGTATTCCTCCAAGCTTGATCTGATATTTGAGATGGCATAAATCGTAAGTGGTTAATGGCTATTCCAAATATTCAGGAACGAAAACAAATTGTTTTGTATATGAACCTGAATGATGTGGGATTGGTAGGCCAGAATCTCATTTTCCTAGCAGAAGCTGGAATGGTATAAATGAAGAGCCTGTCGTTCCAATCGAGTTTTTGATCCTCCAAATTGAAACTTGCTTGACCATATCCTTCAAAACTACCAGGCTGTTGTGAATAAACCATCTTCTCTTCTAATGGCAGCTTAAAGAACTCATGCGTAGCCGCATTCATATTTTCGATCGCTGTTGTTGCTCCATGATTTGTCAACTGTCCCAAAAAATAACAATTTCATGAACAGAGTGGCTCAAATCTTGAATTTAATAAGTATACGAACAAGTAAAGATTAAAAGGTATTCCCTCTCTGTCCCAAAATGATTGTCCAGTTTGGATTTTTACTTAATTCAATTTGTAATGAAAATGAAAATCTAAATTGGAAAATAATTTTGGGACGGATGGAGTATGATTTTGGGATTTAGAACCTGGAAAAATCCCCAATCCTTGCAAGCCTGATGAAGCTTTGACATTTCAGTCTGATACTCATGGGAGTTGACCTTGCTCATATCAATGACTGGAATTTGCCATGAATCATTGACCGAAACTTCATCTGCAGGGATTAATGCAGATCGGATGTACCGATGAGGGATTTCTTTCGAGTTCTTGGAAGCTAGTTCTTGCACGTTTTCAACCAGAAGTGAAACACCAACATTATTGTCCATTGATGAATAATGCTGCTGAAATGTAACTATCAGAGGTATTAATACCAATGCCCTGTTTGGGATTTTTCTCCTCCATGAGTTCAACAAGATGAAGTGATCTGTACAGCAGTGGGGACTTCTAAGATAAGATGATGCATTGAATAACATGTTCAAATAAGGACATGTCAGCAAATTCATTTGATTTCGTTAATCATCCGTTAGTAGTATTCATTTCCATATCCTCCACGAATTTTGACAAACTACAAAGAGTTTTGTCACAATTCCTTTTTTTTTTAACCATGTGCGGGTTATGGTGAATTAGCGAGAATTGTAGCTAAGGGACGAAATTCTTGCACGAAACACCCGGGACTAATTGGTGTCAAGTGTCGACACCATACAAAAAATTACGGAACATTTGGCGTGGTGGAAGACTCGAAGAACAGTAACAGGTTGACGACGAAAACACCCTCACAACAATGATTGACCAGTGGGGGACCATCCGGGCAAGACATGACACGTCAAATCGACAAATGACCGGAGTAGCCCAAAAGTCAGAAATAAGTACTCCCTCATGTCCTTAATATAAGACATTTTGATGTATTTTAGTTTTGACCTAATACGCATTCTTAGTTGACCAAATTAAGAACAGTTTATAACAATCAAGAAAACATAATGAATATGAGAACATATTTTTAAGATTAAGGACCGAAGAGAGTATAATTCAATCAATTTAATCTCAAATCAAATCTCTCCGCAAATAGTGTGTTAAGAGAGTACTTTTGTTTGTACTTACACTTATTTGTATCAAATATTGTGGGAAACACCCCATAGAAATTTACTTAACATAATCTCATACGATTCCCCTCAAAATCAATTATAAGCCTATATATGAATCCATCTTAAAATAAATTGGTGAATAAGAATAATAGCACATGAGAGTTATATGGTGAGTTCAAGTGTTACATTGTTTTCATGTGAGACAAGAAAACATGAACGTATTTCACTCTTTCTCATTTATTTCAACAGATTACTGTATGGCCAGCCTCTTGGAAGAAAAAAAATTTGTTTCTCTCTTAAATACAAATATCAATAAAAACATTTTACATCTTCTAACATTTTCATTTACCTTTAAGAACTTTTTCTACTAATTAATTTATATTACTTTCAATAAACACCAGTGGACCACTTTGCCGCTGCCGCCGGTCGGTCGCCCGTGGTGGGTGGTGGCGTCGGTAGTCGTGAAGGTAGTGGTGATAAATAATATTGTTTTATTCAAAACATTATCCATGTTATGAAGTATATTAATGGTGGATGTCGTATTAAGTTGTCTTAATGTTTTATCGTTCATTTACATCTCCATAACTCTGTGGTCTTTGTAAGTATAGAGTTAATGTAATCTATATCTTAAGGTGATCATAAACCTATAAATAGAGACTAAAATGAATGAAGAAGACACACCAAAAACTTACCACAATTTCTTTGCTCTCTATTTGCCTTGCTTAGCCAATTTCTTTTAACACGTTATCGGCACGAAAGTGCTCTAACAAATTTTCTAAGTCCTCTTTTTGGGTAAGTTCTAAAAGCTTACTCTATTTTTATACCATGGCCAACAACCTTGCAAAACTTGAGTTCATAGCTTTTGATGTTTTCGGAGAAAATTATTTATCATGGGTGCTTGATGCCAAAATGCATCTAAATGCTAATGGACTTGAAGAAACTATCAAAGAAGGCAGCGAGGTCACAAATCAAGAAAAGGCCAAGGCAACAATTTTCCTTTGTCGCCACCTTCATGAACAGTTGAAAATTGAATATTTAACTGTTGAAGATCCATTTTTCTTATGGATAAGTTTGAATGAAAAATATAATTACCTAAAGACGGTTATGTTGCTAAAAGCTTGTCATGATTGGATGCACTTACGTTTCAAAGATTTCAAAACTGCTAGTGAATACAATTTAGCAGTTTTTCGAATCACATAACTTTTGAGATTATATGGTGATGAAATGAGTGATGCACTAATGCTCGAAAAAAAATATACCTCTTTTCACCCTATAAATGTGCTCCTGATGCAGCGTGAAAGGGGATATACAAAATATTCTGAATTGATTCAGGTTCTGCTTGTTGCGGAACAAAATAATGAGGTTTTATTGAAAAATCATCAAACTCGCCAACTGGTACTGCCCCATTTCCTGAAACAAATGCGGCAGCTATAAATCCAAATAATGGACAAAATAGAGGGCATGGTGGCCGTGGTCGTGGTCGTGGACGAGGATATGATAAAAATCGTTTTAACGGTCGTGGTGGTCAAAATAAAAATACTACTTCCCACCAAAAGTTGGGAACTAGTAGTGAGAAAGATGGAAAAAAAAAACGGAAAGGCGAGAGTAAATGCTTTTGTTGTGGCATGAATAACCATTGGTCCCAAATCTGTCGTACACCTATGCATCTTGCCGATCTCTATCAAGAATCAACAAAGAAACAAGAAAAGAAGATAGAGACTAATTTTATTGACAATAATGTTGGATTTAACCATAGCCCTGTAGACAATGGTTTTTCGCTGATTTTAATTCTTTGGATGTTGCCGATTTTTCTTTGTCAATCACCCTAAAGGTGAAACTAGTCACATGGCTAATGACAGAAATGTCCAAGAGTAGTTTTCTATTCTATATTTTAAGTATAATATTCTATTTGAGTTTTAAATAAAATTGTTTCTATGAACTTTTTGTAATGAATTATATAATAAATGTAATATTTTACTATTTTATATAATGGCTTATATTTGATATTTTAATCTTAAAATCTTTTATAATTTGATAGATGCAATATTAGAATAACAAAATGCAATATCTCATTTGAAATTTTGATTTCGTTTTTTAAGAAACATGGACGTTTCAATGGACAATGGTAAAGAAATATGTATGGCAGAAAGTGCAACTACGCACTCTATCCTTAAAGAAAAGAAATATTTTTCATAAATTGTAATGAAAGAAACTCATATTAGTACTATATCTGGTAGTACAAAATTAATTGAAGGCTCCAGAAGAGCAAATATAATTCTTCCAGGAGGGACAAAATTTTGCATTGATGATTCATTATATTCTTCAAAATCTCAAAGAAACTTGTTGAGTTTTAAAGATATTCAAAGAAATGGATATCATGTTGAAACAAGTTGTGAAGATAATATTGAATACTTGTACATTACAAATATAATTTCTGAAAAGAAAATATCTTAGAGAAATTACCTTCATATTCTCATGGGCTATAATATACAAATATTACAGCCGTTTAAAATTATACAACAGTAAACCCGAAGTTTACTAGTTATGGTGATTTTGTCATTTGGTATGACCGGTTAGGCCATCCCGGTTATATTATGCGAAAAATACTAGAGAATTCTCATGGTCATTCCTTAAAGAGCCGGAAGATTCTTCAATAAAATGAATTCTTATGTGTTGCTTGTTCTCAAGGCAAGTTAATTTTCAGGCCATCACCAGTGAAAATTCGCTCCGAATCTCCAGCGTTTTTAAAACGCATACATGGAGATATTTGTGGGCCTATTTATCCACCTTGTGGGTCATTTCGATATTTTATGATTTTAATCGATACATCCACGAAATGATCACATGTGTGCTTGTTATCAACTCGTAACTTGGCATTTACAAAATTATTAGCCGAAATAATTCGGTTAAGAGTCCATTTTCCTGATAATCATATCAAAACAATTCGTTTTGACAATACTGGTGAATTCACGTCCCAATCATTTAATGACTATTGTATGTATATTGGGATTAAAGTTGAACATCCTATAGCTTATGTTCACACACAAAATGGCATGACAGAATCTTTTATCAAACAAATTCAACTAATTGCAAGGCCATTACTTATGAGAACAAAGTTGCCAATATCAGCTTGGAGTCATGGTGTATTGCATGCGGCTATTTTAATTCGCATAAGGCCAATAAATTACCAAGAATATTCTCCCCAACAAATGGTTTTTGGTCAGGAACCTAATATGTTGCAATTGCTCCACCACAACGTACAAAGATGGGACCTCGAAGGAGATTAGGAATATATGTTGGTTATGAGTCTCCATCTATTATAAAATACCTTGAGCCTAGAACTAGAGATTTATTTACTGCTCGTTTTGCTGATTGTCATTTTGATGAGTCAGTCTTCCCAACATTAGGGGGAGAAGTTAAACAGCCGGATAAGAAAATAAGTTGGAATGAATCAACGTTATCTCATACTGATACTCGTATAGGCCAATGTGAACTTGAAGTTCAAAAGATAATTCATTTACAATGTTTACCAAATTAATTGTCAAATGCTTTTACTGACCTAAAACGTGTGACTAAGTCGAATGTACCGACTGCTAATGCTCCAATAAGAATTGATGTCCCTAAAGGACCTTCTACCACTAACAATGAATTAAAGGCACATCTAAAACGTGGTAGGCCAATTGGTTCCCAAGATAAAAATCCTCGTAAACGAAAAGGAGCAAATATGAAGATGGAAAAATCGAGGTAACTAAGATTCTCGAAGAATTCTCAAGAATAAAAACTTATGAAGAGTCAAATGACATAATAGATAATAAACTTCGAGAAGAAGTTCATGTACCTGAAAATGTTGATAATGATGAAATCTCAATTAATTATGTCGTTACTGGAGAAAAATGGAACCGATGTGTAACAGAAGTTAATGATAAGTTTGCATATACTACAGCAATTAACGTTATGAATGAAAATGATTATCATGAACCGAGGTCTGTAGATGAATGCAGACGTAGAAATGTTTGGCCAAAATGGGAAGATGCAATTCAAGATGAATTAGATTTGCTGGCAAAACGCAAAGTTTTTGGACCAGTAATACGCACACCTGAAGATGTGCAACCCGTAGATTTTAAATCCGTATTTGTGCGGAAAAGAAATGCGAATAATGAAATTGTACAATATAAAGCACGACTTGTCGCACAAGGTTTTTCCTAAAGACCGGGTATTGACTATGAGGATACATATTCTCCCAT